TTGGACAAAGTCTTCGAGTATTCTTCCAAATACGTACATGAGACATTGCTCCCTTAACAAAGTTTCACATCGCTTGGGAATTTAGGCCAAGGGTAGTTTATAAAAACCCTCCTCCCTTAACCCGCCATGATACCTTTTTCAAGGAAAAAGGTGTGATGGTCAAATGAGCACCAAAGTAGATAATATCTCAAACGCGATGATCTTAACTATGTTAGCAGACTTATGATCAAAACATTGGCACTAGAAAGAAGACATAGGCCACTCTTTCCCTTTAGCTTCATGTGGGGGGCTGGTTTTAGTATGTTTAAAAGTCACACATTACTTAAGAGTCGAGGCCAATGGTAATTTATGAACACATTCTTCCCTTAATCAATCAAAATACCTTTTCAAGAAGAAAACCGTGACGGTCCAATGAGCATCAAAATGAGCATTACCTTAGATGCGAGGACCCTAATAATATTAGCAGACTTATAGTCGAAACATGTCTGAAACATTAGATTAATTAATTGTTAATCATGTGATTGAATTTTAATAGATGTTAGATGAAATAAGATTTTTGAATATCATAAAGTTTGAGAAAATTTTAAAGGATTATAAATTATCTTGCATGATTGAGATTCCATGTAAAATCACTACAAGAAAATTGACCTGTAGTGATAGACATAAATTGTAACTAAACGTTAAAAATTTGTAGTTAAATATTTATTTTACACTTGTCCTCGGGTGACCTATCTGTCTATTATATGAGTTATATAACAATGATTTTGGTAGTTTTACTTGCAACAAACAGTTGTAAATACAAGAATTTGAGTTTTCCTATACTAAATATTTATAGGTAAAAATCATGCAATGTTTCAAAAATTAGCTTAAACCGACTAGTCTAATTGGTTGTACCGAGAACAAATTGTCTAACCGGTTTAACCGATGAAGATGCTCATATGCTGCTTTTAGAAAGAAAGTGCAACAAATGATAATTGAGCTGATTTACATATGAACAATAAGAGCCTTAATAGTTGTTGCACCAACCATTTATACCAACATGTTTACTTATAATATATGCAACTTAAACAATCTTTATAGTATATTATTAATTTTATATCATATATGTAATAATATAATAAATATGCACATATTACATATTGCATATATTATTTTATAACATCAATTACATGCATATTATACATATATACATGTTAATATATTTTTAATATGTTTTGCTCAGTTCAACATACAAAATAAAAATAAAAATAAATTTTTTGACACAAAAAAATAAAGATAATATAATTTTGAGTAAGATGAGAATTGAACCCAAGTAAATATAATTATTTAACATCTTATATTTTTTTGGAAACTTTTTTAAAACATGATATAAATTTATTGAAATTTATAAATATAAAATATATATGATAGAAATATTTATCTTAAAATTTAATAAAAATCAAATTATACGATTCAATTAGTTACCTATTAATTTGATTTTTTATTATATATATTACATACATTTAGTTCAATGAAATGAATTGGGATAAAACTGTATCAACTATAAAGGTTACAATGGATAGGTTGGTTTGCTAGTATGATTAGTTGGTTATTTTCTATTTATAATCTACTGGTGTATAAATAGTTAGTAATAACAAAAATGAATATTTTGGTAAAGTATATAGGGACTGTATCTTGAATTAGAATTGTAAATGGATTTTATCTCTTGTAACAACTTAATATATCTATTTTCTTTGTCGTAAAAAAAGAAAAGAAAAAGAAGATGTTCATATACTTGAATTATATATATATATATATTTTTATCATCGCTTAGTTATAATTGACTCAACCAAGATGGTTAATCGATTTAGTTAGTTATAGATTGAAATCTTTAATCAAGCTTTCTAATGACTTCAATTAATAGATATTGCTTTTTTCTATAGATTACTTTTTTTTTTCCTATCAAAATCTGGTTCAATTATTTTACTTTCTCACCTTTAACATATTCTTTCACAATGCACCAAGTATCTCTTTCTGTCTCCCATTTGTTCTCTCACCCACGGTCAACTTCTTGTGACCAAGGCAACTGTTGTTACCATCACACTGGCTTTGTCATTTTCTTTAAGGAGTGATCAAATTGGCTATAAAAAAATTAACAATAACTATAATTAATGGGTTTTAATTTAAAAAAAAATAGGTTACATACCCAAAACTGGTTATTTAACTGGCTATAACCAAAACCGATTGTGAAATTTTAAAAATACTTTTAAATTTAAAATTTAATGTATAAGATAAAACTTTTATTTTATTTAATTAAAATTTATAATAAATAAATACTTTTTAATATATATGTCATATCATAATTGAAAATAATAATAAACAAATAAATATTTTTATATTATGATAGAGAGTTGTTTTTAATTATTGATAATTTATAAATAGCTAAAAATACCTTTGTTGAAGAATAATTTATAAAAGCACAATCTTTTAAGATAATTAATATAATTTATATAGAGAAAATTATTACGGTATAAAAATAGTTGTAAAACCTTATTAAGTATATAAAAATAATTTTTAAAACTTTCTTTTTAATTTTCAGAACCAATTTTAGTTATAACCTGTTATATAATTAATTTTGGATATATAATCCATTATTTAAAAATTTAAAGTTTTTTTGGAATTAAAAGTGGTTATGTAATTTGGGTATAATAATCACATTCATAAAATACTACAAAATGATTATTGTTAAGTTATTTAAAATTATGTAAAACCCGTTATGGTTGTATGATAATTTTATTTTATACATATCTCTTTTGTATTTTATTGGTAGGTAGCAAGGCCCGAGCCTAAATGGGATTGAAGGTTTTTTTTTTTTTTTTTTGTGTGTGTTGTTTATGTATTAAGTTGATGTGTATGTAAGTTTATTTCCAGCCCAATTTTTTAAAACTTGCCACTATGCACTAGCCCAAAATAATATAAACCCAAAATCTTCCAAGTGCATCATATCGCAATCCAAAATGCTGTCCAATCTGTATTGTTGATTTAGCTGTTCATGTTCATGTTAATATTAATAATAATAATAATAATATTATTATTATTATTATTATTATTTCACTTTGTACCCTTTTACTGTTGGATTTGAATCTGATGGTTAGAATTAACGTATATACAAGAGTTCTTAGAGCACCTCCAGCGGATGGTGCTTAATGTGTTGCTTATTCTTAAGCAACGGTCCTTATAAGAAACTCCCGTTGGACCTATCCTACATGACAAGTGAGTTTCTTAAATTTTTGTCTCAGTTGCTTGTACAAGCAACAGTCCTTAGCACTGACAAGAAGAATTTCATTGGTTGAAATTCATCTACGTGGACCACATTTATGAAAAAGAAAAACAGAAAAAACCATGCACCTCCTGTTCGTTTGTCTGGGGAGGTTTGGCAACGCCGGCCCGTGTCGCCAGTGGCCGTTCGCGCGTCACCGGTCGCGCGTCGCCGGTCGCGTGTCTCTGGCAAGTCCCGTACGCCCCCGCGCGCGCGGCTCAACCAGTTCCGACGGCCCGCTGGAGAATAACCTCCGCCCAGCATGTGAACCGCCTCCACCCCGCACCAGAACCCTCTGGCAGAACCCCTTCGCCCCGCGTGCCAGAAGCCACCGGCCAAACCCCTCCGCCCCTCGTTCGCCACCCCTCCGCCCGCGCGCCAGAAGCCACCGGCGAAACCCCTCCGGCCCCCGTGCGCGACCCCGTACGCCCCGCGCAGGAACCACCTCTGCTCCATATAGCCAGACCCGCGGCCCGCGCAGGCACCACCCCCGCCCCACGAGCGCCAGAACCCCTCCACCTCGCGTGCGACCACCGTCGCCCGTGACCCCTCCGCGCGCCAGTTGGAGAAGAGAGAGTGAAGAAAGAGTGAAGGGAGAGTGAAGGGAGAGGGCAGAATAAACGTTGAAATGGAGAGTGAATGAAGAGTGTAGGAGAATGGTGAATGCAGAATAAACGTTGAAAGGGAGAAGGCAGAGTGAATGGAGAGTGTAGGAGAATAAACGTGAATAGAGGGTGAGAGACTTTGATAATCGTAAATAAGAAAAAAGAGACGTTGAAACCCATTGGAAACCCGTTGGAGAGACGTTAAAGAGTCGTTGGACTTGTATGTATAAATTGATGTCCAATTTTGAATTCATTTGCATTCAATTTTCAATTCATTTGCACTCAATTTTCAATTCATTTGCACTCTGTTTTTCACATTGCGTAGTTCATTTGCACTCTATTATTCAGGTTGACTGACTTGATTCTTCGTTAGTCTTTGAATATCTTCCACTTGTTGGATGCACTTTACAGAGCCTTGTTGTAAAACTAAGTCACCCAGAATGCTATGTAAATGGTATTATTTATCACATGATTCAATAATTAACTAGAAAGTATAGGGTTTATAATGAATGGACCCCAATTTCCAGTATCAAGATGATACTCTAACAAGGATGAGGATTTAGGATACTGAATTACATGTAGACCCACATATTCCAGAGACTTGGTACTGTCCTCTCTGTATACCCAAAAATTACAAGCTGTCCCCTCTCTGGATTCACCAGTCTATTTATATAAATCATCATTCCCCACTGCCCTAAACTAATTGTAGTAACTATCCTCCAACTAAGGTAAATCCTTTGACATTTATTTATTCAGTTTTGCTACAAGTTTAGTTAGTTCCCTATCCCCCCCCTCTAAGAGTTAATATTAACAAGAATATAAATTTTTATTTCATAAGAAATCAAAAGCAGAAAGTTTTACTAAACAAAAGTATTTATAACAACAATATTACAAGGGTTATTCATTTCATTTCCTTTATCTACTTACAAATTAAAAGATAAGACTAACAAACAACGATAATTCAAGCAAAAACTGATGAAAATGAGGGGGTAGTAAAAACAAATGGAGGAAGACTAATACATAAAAGAGGTTTCAACTATCAATTAGTATAAACAAAAGCAAGGTAAGAACTAAGAAGTTCAGTTTGACAACCAAAATCATAATCCCTTAGATTCAGATTTTACCTGTAAACCATACTTCTCAGCATGATACTTGTTATCATGCTCAAGATGTTCCACTTCAACATATTTGTCAAAAGAATCATACACACTCTGACATCCTTTGACATCAAGTTGAAGATCTGTAACCAAATATTTAAAATTTCATAAGTTCCATGAATCTATGCATTGATGCAATAGACAACAGAATTCCAAATTACTTACCATAAAATGATTCTTTTCTTGTTGATTTATAGTCAACATTGATGCATTCAATATAGTTCATATGGTGACCTTCAAACAACTGCTGTATGGTGCCTTCCACCACAGTACCCTGATGCAAAAGAAAATCTATATACAAAACTCTCCTAGACAAGACAAATGTTATCTAAAAAATGTCACAAAAACATCACTGTAGGCAGTTTACATATAAAACAATGTACCTTCATTTTATCTTCTAACTTTTCACAGAGAACTCTATTAAGTTCTTGGACATCATGCTGCAAGAATGAATCATATGTATCCCATCCAAAAGACTTGGTTAACTCTTTCGTAGATACACTAGTGTCACTATGTTGTAGCTTGTAGAATAAACTTTGCAATGCCAAAGGAATGCTCCCTGATGGCATGTCATTCTCAGTCGTAGGCATATGGTACACAGCCTGTAACAATAGTGCACATAAGGTGCTTCCTCTCATAGAAACAAAGGCTTGAACATTAAAAATTGGCTAACCTTTCTAAAATAAGGAATGTGATACAGTGTCTGAAGAAGAGAATTCATGTAACAAGTAGCTCCTTGGTTTTTCAATCCAACACAACCCGTTTCCTTTTTTGAGGTAATTTTTATTATTATTGAAATATGAGTTGTAAAAAAATTAAGGTGTCACAAAGTGTAATATGAGTTGTAAAAAAGTTGAGGTGCTTATAAGCAATTGCTATTGGAACAAAAGTTGTAAAAATATAATATGAGTTGCTTATGAGTGACGTGGCACAGTGGGACCCATTTAAAGTGGTTGGGAGTCCCACCGGAGATGCTCTTAGATCTCAATCTCACCTAAAAACCATCTACACATGCAGTCAACTCACCATACCCTTTAGTAAGTGATGTCATCAGCGATGCACTGTTCATCACGCGCCTCCACAAGCTCCTCCACTGCGAGTAAACATGGCAAAAACATATCTACTTACGAATATTTGTAAATAATTTCAAATAAATAATTAAATAGGCACTTTTAATAATAAAGTGAGAACAAATAATAATATACTCTTACATGTAAATACCTACACTTTTAAAAATATTAAAAATACTCTTATTATATATAAATTAATTTGGTTTAAGCCAATGATTGTGAAGAATATGACCCAACAACACCAATGTCTCGTCCAATAGGTCAAAAAGCAGCGAAGAGAAAAAGTAAAGGAAAGGTTGGCGAAACATCTTCCAACAAAGAGGAGTTGGAGAACATAACAAAAGCAATGTTAGAAAGAAGTGCTGCAGTAAAGAAATTGGCTGAAGCGAAGGAAGCAGCTAACTTTAGTGCAATGTATGAAATTCTCATGAAGGACACATCTGGAATGACTGAGAAGCAGCTCAAAGATCATGAATTGGCTTGTAATTTTATTAGGCGCAAATTAGGAGATTAAATATTATTGTAATTTTAATTTAGTGCGTATTTAATTTTTATATTTAATTTTATTGTAATTTTTGGTATTTCTTTTTATTATGTAATTTCTCTTTATTATGTAATTTTTTTTATTATTGTAATTTTTGGTATTTCGTTTTATTAATAAATTTATTTTTATTATTGTAATTTTTTGTATTTTTTTATTATGTAATTTCTTTTTATTATTAAAATTTTTGTTATATTTTTTATTATGTAATTTTTATTATTATTGAAATATGAGTTGTAAAAAAATTAAGGTGTCACAAAGTGTAATATGAGTTGTAAAAAAGTTGAGGTGCTTATAAGCAATTGCTATTGGAACAAAAGTTGTAAAAATATAATATGAGTTGCTTATGAGTGACGTGGCACAGTGGGACCCATTTAAAGTGGTTGGGAGTCCCACCGGAGATGCTCTTAGATCTCAATCTCACCTAAAAACCATCTACACATGCAGTCAACTCACCATACCCTTTAGTAAGTGATGTCATCAGCGATGCACTGTTCATCACGCGCCTCCACAAGCTCCTCCACTGCGAGTAAACATGGCAAAAACATATCTACTTACGAATATTTGTAAATAATTTCAAATAAATAATTAAATAGGCACTTTTAATAATAAAGTGAGAACAAATAATAATATACTCTTACATGTAAATACCTACACTTTTAAAAATATTAAAAATACTCTTATTATATATAAATTAATTTGGTTTAATTTATTTTACATTAAATATATTTATTATAATTATTTATTTTTAGACCAAATATATATTTTAAATTTATTTTTTAATATGATATATATTTTGACATTATTTTTTTATTTTATTTTATTTCTTATCCTTTTATATAAAATTTTATATTTTATCGAATGCAAATATTTAAAAAATTTATAGATTATATTTTAATAACTCACCATATATAATTACAAGTTTTTATTTTCCATAAATCTGATAAATATTTGATTTGGTTCATGCAGTTTTTATTTATGGTTTTAATTCTCGTAAATTTATTTATTTTTAATGAGATGAAAATGTTTATTTTTCCTTTAGTCTTAATCAAGGATAATTGGTATATATAGCAGTGTGAGAGTATATTTAAGAATTGCTACTTTTAAATATGTCTTTTTTAACAGCAATAATTTTTTTTTAATTTTTTATCTGGATCGGGAATTAATAAATTTTTAAAGTGCAAGATACTATAAGTATTGGCATCTCATCCTCTTTGATGACTAAAAGTTGATAGATCCTGTAAGAATATTTCAACATGTTTTGAAAATTTGTCTTTCCAATCAATGACTTAAACATATTGTTCTGAACGCACTACACACAGAAAACCTAAAATCTCAAATAAGCTCGTATCTGAAATGAACAAATATATTTCATGTAATATGTTACGAATTTTCTTTCTATCTTTTGTGATCGAAATTTTTAACGATACGATAGAGAAGATCCAGAATATCTGCAGAGATTAAAATATTCCTCTTTCGTTCGAATCTTAATTATAAAGGATATAGATGATTAACTGGTATATATTGAAGAATTAATTGTTATATATTCCATATTTTTTCCTATAAAAATTAAACAAAATGTGTGTCCGTGACATAATGATTATTAAAATCAACCATTAAAATTTTGACAACTTATTAATTTTTTCCACAACGAGTTTTATTTATTTATTTATTTTATGTAGATCATGTGCAGTCAAAAGAACAAACATAAAACATGTTCACGTGAACACAATATTCTTGTTAAGTTTATGAATCAAATTCATTCACTTAATTTACATATGAAATTCACTTATTGTTAATGAATTCGTAGTAACTCTTTAGTGTTTGTTGGGTTGCAAATTTTTTTTTTAGTTCGTCCTTGTAGTATTTATTGTCGATAGCAGTAACTAATCTTCTCGTTACATTGAAAGCACCTTAAAGGGTGAGATAGCTGTGTTGGCTTTTAATCTAACATTGTTGATTTTTTCAAAAATGATTTTTTTTTTCTTTGAGACACAATAATGACATGCAATCGTGCAGATTAAATTAATTTGGACATCAAAGTCGTCTTTACAAATCACTACTAATTACTTATGAGCATCACCTTCGCGAAACAATAAAGATCATCTTTAATGATCATCATCCTAATCAAATTAATTGAATAAATAAGACATTTGAGGAGAAAAAATATTCTCCCACACTCATTATTATTGCGAACCAAGAATAGTTAATAATTTATTGTTGGTTTCTTTCAATGGATTTGAATAAAGAATCAAACATTTTGTTTATCCTTGCCCTGTGAGTAAAAATGGAAAATTTTATTAAATAACTACTAATCACCAAATATACATACATATTTTATTTATATTTTATTTAAATTAGGTAATTATTAATATATTCTATACTTATAAATCCTATTTTTTTACCACAAAATACTTAGTCAAAAGTAAATTTTAATTTTAGGATTTAATTATTTAAATATTAGATATTTTTAATGTTTTCTTTGTTAAGATATAACGTAGGAAGAAATAATTTAAAATTTATAAATCTCAAAAGAAAACCATAGATTCAAGTTATATAAAAAAAATCATTTTGAGCTAGCAAAATTAGCTCAAAATGACAAAATCACCGTTTAAAGCAAATAAAGTCAAAGATCATTGGAAGCACGCATATGCCTGCTCGAGCAAGCTACATAAGCGATCTAAGTTAGTGGATATCACAAGTCTAATTGAAAAAAATTCATTTGAAAATATTATAAAAATAGTGCCTCTAGGAGATATCTATCCATTCATTCTTACTTTTTCTAAACAGAATTCTAGGGAGATTAAAATGAGTTCTTGTAAGAGTATCCTTATAATCATGGGTTAATAAAAAAATCCTTTTTTTTTCGTGTAATCTTTAATCATGAATAACTAAGTTCTCTATTGTTGAACATTGATATAGTTGTTGTACTAATGTAAACTTTCCTATTCTCATTCATTATATTGTTTTTACTCAATTAATCATTTTTACTTTATACTTAATGTGTATTTTGGTCAATGCATGATTTTATAATTTTAATTGAGGTTGAAAAATCTTTTTAGAATTAAAATCTAAATAAAACATCAATAACATTAATTATCAATAAATCAAGATAAACCTTATTAGACTTTTGATCCTTAACCTTAATGTATGATTGTTTAAACAAAATTATTAAGGAATTGAGATTACTCTTAAACAACCTAGAATTTCTTGCATAAAAAATTATGATTTAAATATAATTGTGGGCTATCAAATTAATTATATAACTTGTAATATTGAATGAAAATTGGGAAGAATTTACATGGAGATTAGTGAAATCAATATCTAATTGTTCTTATCATTATATAAATCCAAATTCCTTATTTGCTTTGTTATATGTTTTTTTGATATATAATTTTTTATATTTCATTCTAAATAATTTTAAATTCTTTTTATTGACCTATTTAGTACTAAAATTATATTAAACAATCAAAAATTCAAGTCTATATGAATTTGATATTTGAATTTCTATCATTTTTACTATTTACAATAATTGATATATTTGTCAAATGCATATCAATAACTCACTTAATCAATAAAATGTTACCAACAAGAATAAAGAGAGCCCAATACTTCTCATGACTAAAATTGGAATAAAAAACAGATTAAAAATATAAATAATAATAATAATAATAATAATGATAATAAAGTATAAAAAAAAATCCATAAAAAATATCAGATCATTCATGATGACAAATATTCTGTATTCTCCGCACTAGTGGTAGTAACGTGTTGAGTCCGTTTTGAGAGGGAAAAAAACAATGATTGAAATTGGTCAGCTTTCAAGCAAAAATATAAATTAAGTTGATTTTCTGATACAATAAATATAAATATATATATTCACTTTTTCTTCCATCTCCATTTTTATGTATATATTTTCTTCTTTTCTCATCATATCATTTATAACATTTTTTGGTCATTTTTTTTCTATCTACATCTCTTCCACCCACCTAATAAATATCAATGTACTCTAATTCTAAAAGGAAGCATTTTCCATTTTCCTTTTATGTGTATCTCAGCATAACATTTCCTTGTGTTGATTAACAATTTCTGACCAAAACAATTCATTACCGTATATAGTGCACTGTTCTTTGCGAGATAAAACCATATAAATTATATATATGTTTGTCCCTTACATTAATACTGGCACACAGAATATGGCCAGTCCAAACTTGCCATTTCCGAAGACCAAATAAGCTGAACATAAAGGAACTACGTAATTAGTTAGAGTTTATTATAACCTTTTCATTCACAGACAGTAACTTGGACAAACACAAAAAAGTATCTGCTTGTTTTTAGATCTGAAAGAGAGTGATTCAGTTCAGTTATTACTATGTAGTAGTTAAGGAGAAAGAAAGAAAGAAAGAAAAGATGAGAAATGATGATTGAGTAGTCAAGAATTCAATCTCCTTTCTTTTTCTTCTTGTGCTCCTCAGACTGATCAAGAAGATCCTCCAACACCTTATCATCCAAACAAGGAATCTCGAAAAGGTGCCTTGGTGCACCAGAAGTGCTGCCACTAGCACGAGGAGAAGGTGTTGCCAAATGAGGAGGATATGGTGGTGAACCCCTTATTTGAGAATAGTACTCATTAGGAAAATTGAGAATTGCAAGATGGCCCCTCAAGTTAAAAGCTGCACGATCATAAGCCCTAGCAGCTTCTTCAGCCGTGTCAAATGTCCCCAACCACAGCCTCGACCCTTGCTTCGACGGATCTCTTATCTCCGCCGCGTACTTCCCCCACGGCCGCCGCCGCACGCCGCGGAACCGCACCTCTTCCTTGCCTTGCTTCCCCCTCTGCTGGTGCTCCTCCATGCTCTTCTTCTTGCCCGTGTTTTTATTTTCTATTTTTGACCTAGCTAGGGCTACCCTTGGCTAATGGTTATTGCCTGATGATTTTCTACTTAATTTCTGATGGCCTAATGCTTATATAAATAATGTGTGTGTGTGGAAATGTGTCACATCTAAGGAAAAAAAATGATTTGTTCTCGATCTCAATCTAGGAACGTACATTGACCAAGATTTGTTTCCAAAAGGGTTCTCTATTGAAATAGAAGTGTATAAATTCGATTCTTCGACTATGTCTATGTTTTGCCCCGAACATACTATAAATGGAGCGAAGACAAAGTCTTATTTCATATGGGTGTGCAAAAAATCCAAATTGATCCGAACATAACCGATCCGATCAATATTAAAAAATCTAATCTATTTTTAAAAAAAATTCGAGCTGAACCACTTTATAAAACCGGTTCAGTTATCCGATCCATTTTTACAAAGTGGATTGGTTTGGTTTGGTTTGGTTTTCTAAAAAAATCGATTCATATATGAGTAAAAAAGTGAATAACTGCACCGCACCGAACCGATCCAATTTCATAAAAATCAATCCATTTTTAAAAAAAATCAAACCGATTCACTTTATAAAAAATGGATCGGTTAACCGGTCCACTTTTATAAAACGGTTCGATTCAATTTGGATCGGTTTTTTCAAAAAACCGATCCATGAACACCCCTATTATTTCATACATTTTCCGCTGTAAGCGAGAATCATAGATTTTCTGAGACTATGCATGTATAGTTCGATCCATTTGCAACATCGGATTTTCTGTTTTTATTCACAACACTTTTTGTGAAGGTGTATCTGATTGGGGTGGAGACAACTTTATGCTTCCACATGTTGACGAGACTCCACAAACTAGAGTAAGTATTATATATATGATTAAATAGTGGCTCCTATATCATTTAAACAACAGCAAAAAATGAAATCAATTCGTAAATTTTGAATTTTGTACCCAACTTGCATTCAAATTCAAATTCTATTCTTACTTACTTATAGAGACAAGTCAAAGGCACAATCTAGTATATCTTCGTGCCTGCGTTAAATTAATAGTTTACTATCTATATTATATAGAACATATATGTCTATTTTTATATGAGAGTATATTTAAAGATTTGCTATATTATATATATTTTTCCTATATAAATTCAAAAAAAAAATCGTGAAAAGTGATTATTAAAATCAATGATTAAAACTTTCACAACTTTATAATTTATATTATTTATTTATTTATAAATTTTAGTTCAGATTATTATTATACTGGGTATCATCTTTTGAAGTTTGCACTGTGCGTAAAAGATTCAAATCCCGGCAATTGATATTCTCTGTTCTCTGCTTTTCAGCTTTCTCCAACAGTGAGTTTCATTGACGTAGATCATCTCCAGTCAAAAGAACAAACAGAAAAGCATGTCCACGTGAACACGATTCTTAAATAGTTTATGGATCAAACTCATTCAGTTAATTTACATATAAAATTCACTTATTAATTGCTAGTGCATTCGTAGTTACTCTTTATGATCTTAAGTGCGGCATATAATGATACCAGATTTAACAAAGTTAAAAAAATCAATTTTGGTAGTTTATTATTTATCTTACATAATTCATGTAATATATTGAGGTGAAGGGTTTTAATATTGATTAGTTAATGTCATTTATTGTTACAGACCAAGTTGTAAAGGAGCATTCAAAGAGTAACAGTTAAAACTTGTCTATGTTTGTCTAGCCTAATTCTTATGTAGCTTTCTTGAATTTTCTGACTTATTTCTATCTTTTAGCCCTAATAATCTGCCTTATCTTTATCTCTTTTCGACTTGTTATATATCATGTATAACTGATTTATTATAGTGATATCTTTTACCTATCATAAGATATAATCGTTATTAATTAATTAATTTAACTACTCTCCCTCTATAATGTATCTTTCTATATGATATACTAATGATTATTAAATATTACTTTTGATAAATATATATTAACTCAACCAACCTAAAATAAAATAAAAAACTTAGAATATTAATGTAATACATAAATATAGAAACTAATTTTTGTCGCCCATATTAATTAATTTCTTTATATAGTCATTGTCTAAAGTTAAATTACAATAAATGAGAATAAGAAGGCAAATTCAAACTTTGCAAGGTTCTGCAATTGGCTACATTATAAATAATTGACCACATCATATATATGATTTTCTCCCGGGGGGACATTTTACAAAAGGGTAAGCACTTTTATACCAAAACAATCCCTTTATACTGCTCTTATGTGATGCAGGCTTATACGTCACATATATGGTTATTATTATTATTATTATTATTATTCTTATTATTATTATAATATTAAAAAAGTTTTAGTTTGAACTTTAACTATATTTGATTAGGCCTATGAAAAAAGTTACACTTAATATGATTGACAATCTTGAATGACAATGTAATAATTATTAAAATTATGAGATCGGTCAATTTCACTTATATAATTTGAAAGTAAATTTATTTTTAAGTAATTTTGTTCAATATTGGGCAATCTCGTTCAACCTGGCGAGTTTGCTTTGAATTTACAAGACTACAAGGTCGTTTAAAAAGCTTCCAAAACAAGCGTTTTACTTAGATTTTCGATGGGGCTCACTTGAACACATCTCCCATTTTTCATGTTTCATATCATTAAGCTTGTTTCTTTTCGTGCACAAATTTCATTCTCTCCATATTCATTCTCTTTATGCGTGTTTATTCTTTTTAATTGTTGTCGTGATGAAAGTTTAGTGTTGTTATTTCTCCTGGTCGAGGTCGAGGTTGTGCCATGGGTTTCTAGGGTTCTTGTGGTGAAGTTTCTACCTCCCCTTTTCTTTCTTCTTCGTGTCCCATTTATTTTTCTCTCTTCTTCGTATCCATTTTTTTATTCAATCCATAAAAACACAAAATACTATAATAGCTAATATTTTGTTAGAAATCATATTTTTGTTTGATGATTTTAGTGAACATTCATTTAAGGAAGATCTTGCTTGGTGATAATGGAAATGGTGATGGAGACCTTGGACTTGAAGATGATATCATTAGAGGATTAATTAGACATGAGGATTTAAAGATATTAGTATTTTCTTAATTTTTTATTTGTTGTCATTTTAAGAATTTTTGTCTTGTGTGAAATTATACATGATTTGTAACTAATTATTTTTTAATCAAAAAACAAATAACTTTTTTTTATATAACATGGTACAAGGGGTACCATAAACTCATATACAAAGAAAATTTATAATCTACCAACTTTGATTAGAACTAATTTGAATACATATAGAGACAAATTTGAATCTAACTAGGTTCACCTAGGCATGTAGAAATAGGGAAGTTTGTGGCACCCTAACTATAGGTCGCATCATGTCAAGTTAACAACTATACCATCAGAATTATATCTCACATATAGTTAACTGCTAATGTTAATTTTTAATTATATTTTAGTACCAAATCTATTAACATTCAACTCTTTCCTAACTTTAGACTTTACACATACTGGATTACTTAATCCCTATTTTTTGTGAAATTCTGGATAGGAAATCATGTTAGAAGAAGCCATGTCAAAGAGAATAAGTTGGATTGGACTTTAGTAAAGCAAAATGGCAATTTCAGAATACTCGCGCTGAGCGCATATCCCAGCTTGCTCAGCGCACTAGATCAGGCTAAGATGGTGAAGAATTGGCTGTGCGTTGGGTGCGTATCACCTCACCTTGGGCGCGTCACTTAAGGGGTTGTGTGGATTCTTATTCTTCTTGGCTGAACAAAAACAATTATTATCACACACACTTGGAGGAACAAAGGGAGTGTGGGTCTGAAGTTGGGAAGCTAGGGTTCACCTGTCCACCATTATTCTCATTGGTTTTCTTCCACCTTCACTTACATGATGTATTTTGCTAATCTTCTCATGGAAATGAGTTGCTAAAACCTTTTTGTTGGGGTTAGATGTAGCCAACTTGACTCTCATGTAACTTGCTTTAATATATATATATGTGTGTGTGTGTGTGTTTGTGTTTTCATTCAAATGTTAGTACCATGTTTCTATGGTTAATGTTTGTATGGAGTGATCAACCATTACATGATTTGTGATTATTTTGATATTGGGAAATATCATTTGTAATCTTGTCTTGGAATGTGATACCTAGTAAAACTTGTATCTAGGAATAGAACATGATTTACTTGTTGTCTAAATCCCTTAGACTTAATGCAAGTGGATTGATACTTGGTAATGAGACTTAGGCTCCTATAACCAAGGAAATTGGGATTTGAGTAAATTAGTGGGTTGACATTAATATTTGAATGAGAAAGATGTTTTATGCATGAGATTGAAGTTGGTAAAGTCTAACCCTAACATATCGCTCTTATAAGTTGGTTTCTAAAATTGCACTCCAAGTGTTTGATGAAAGTTCACTTTAATTCACTTTGCATTTAATAGCTTCAAAATTACAATCCTTCAAATATGGAATCATTCTTTAATATTTGTTAGCTAAATTTGTATCTATTGCCATTGTATTACTCAAGTCCTTTGGGAAGAACGACAAATACTTCTACTTACTGCATGTTATGACACTAGAAGCCACTAGAAACCAATACCTACATATTTGGAATATCATAATAAACCAAATGAACAAGACAAAAAATCTGCAATATCCGACCCATATATTGCAAATTTTGGAGTGTGACAACTCCTTATCTAACAATCCCAACCACCAAAATACTAACACTATTATTTTATCCCCAAGATAGAATACTTGCAATATCAACCAATTGTCTTATATGGAATATTTTGTATCCATTTAGCTAATGCATAGATCAGGATTGATTGGCCATAAATTGAAGGAAACTTGGAAACTGTTCTATTTTAGAGTTAGCCAACACCAAACTATGTGAATAATGTCCTTCATCAAATTTTGCTTATCAAACTACTTCTGCCTAAATACATAGTCATTTCTTTGGTTCTAAATGTTCCAAGCTATAAC